GCTCGTGCGGCTGCCGGCTGAATGCGTCAGACGCTGCAGATGGAAAGGTGCAGGACACCCCATGTGCAACGTCGGCCACACGAGCACCACGGGAGGACAGGATGCCGGGACCTGTAGTGCGCACTGGAATGTAAGCCGGCCGACTCCCTGCGTTCAGGTGCGGGAGGGGGTGTGGAGCTGTATTGAAGTCAATGGCATGACCCACAGTGCGATCGCCCGCACTCGGAACGCAGGCATGTTAGTGCCTTCATTCCGGTCGAGTGCGATCTGCAAAAATAGTGCTCGCAGCATTTTTGCGGATCGCACTGGACTGGAACACAGGCACTAATGCAGGCGATCGCACTGTCGGCGAGGGGGCCTGCCTGCGAAGCCTGGCTGCGGTGCCATTGACCTCAATGCACCGCCACGCCCCCTCCCGCCCCTGAATGCAGGTGTTTTTTTCGTTGGTAGATCTCAATGAGCTCGTCATTTGAAAAGTAGATCTCCAGACGAAAAATAGTGGGCACCCCTGCATTACAGTATTGGTTTATGTTAAAAAATCTGAGGGTTTAATGTCACTTTAAGGAAAGGGGTCTGTTAAAGTAAAATGGGTTGACTGTTCTGGATGGCTGTGCAAGAGAACATTGTTTTGTTTTTTTCTTCCCTAAACGTAATTTTTTTTTCCTCCTCCAATTGTAGGAACTTTGTGCGCCTCCTTTCACATCTGACCCAGGTAGCTGGACATTTACTGCTGTACAGTGGATCATTTATGATGCAATGGACGGAGGAGTCTGAAGAGCGGACACATAGGAGGACACAGATGTCTTAACCTACAAGCTTAACAATTTTTGTCACAACATTTACACTGGAAAAGAAAAATGGCATGGGCCTAAAGCTAATGGCAGCAATATGTTTACTAGCGAAGATCATTTGGGTTTATTTTAATAACCATGCACTGCTTTCATTTGTGTCTATGATGGCTGCAGTCCTCCCACAGTCTTAGTTTCTCCATGTAACAGACAACTAAATGAAGGTTTTGTTTACTAAGCACAAAAAAAAAAAGTATTCTCCAAAATCCAGGCCCAGAGGAGGCTTCTAAAGATTTAGAGTTCAGCACTCCTGACTTACAACAGCCAATCAGCAATCATCTTTTTAGTGGCTTAGAGTACATAGGACTGAATCCACAAAGTTAATACACCAGGATAAGGATCCTAAATTTTTTTTTTTTAAAGTGACAGTTATTTTCAACTGAGCCGCGTGAGATTTGAAAATGACAGTCTCATGACTAAAAATACAGCTCCTAATCTATGTGTAAAGCTTTGTAAACTAAGACTATAGACAAATTCAATCAGATATCTGATAGATTGCACTTGAATTACGGCACGCCATTACTCTTTTGCTTTACGTTATTAAATAATCCCATTTCATGAGCTAAGGACAGACTGCAAGTACAGCTATCTCTTGAATCCTACATAATCTGTTCCATGCACACATTTTTTTCAAATGTTTACACTTCAGTTGTATGTTTTGAGTTTTGAACGATAAAGCATCTTAGTGCATTAATAGACGGCATACATTTTTGTTCAAGGACTTTGCATATATCATTTTGTTTTGTAAAAGAAATGTATTGCTGTCATTTGTTACATCTTTGTTTTAGGTATTTCAATGTTATTTACAAGTTGCAGTGATTAGCTGCATAGTGTTAGGATAATGTGTAAGGTTTTATAATTGTGGTAATAAGGTTATTTATTGATATATAGGTTTTATTAATTTTTGTTTTCTTAGAAAGCTGGTGCTGCTGTGGTATGTATGATTTGCTGACCTTTTAATAAATGAAAACTGAGGGGAATATATCAAAACTGGAGCAGTTGGACATGGTGACCAATCATCATCTATCTTTCATTTACAAAACTGACCAGAACAAACTAATGGTAGAAGCTGATTGGTTTCTAAAATGACAACTGTCCCGGATTCTGTCTGCTCCAGATTTGATAAATCCCCCTCAATGTGAATTGCTGTTACCCATACCAACCAATCAGAAACCTTTCACTGGTCCGATAGTATTAAATTACTGAAATTGTTTTGGGCATGTGCATGCTATTGATTTTATATTATTAAATGCCTTTGTACGGAACTTTGACACTCTAAAAGTAACTAATTTTATTTCGGAATATATACATTCCTAAAGAAGAACTCCAGGAATGTTTTTTATTAACCTTTTGTAGAGAGGTTACCCGTGCACTGCAAAAGGGTTAGCTGCTTGTTTGTGTGTCTTAAAAACAAACAAACTGATATACTTGCCAAAGCTCCGAGCTGACTTCTTCCTAGTGCGGTCTTCCCAATGTATCTCCCCCTCCTCTGCAGTGGTCTAAGGTCCAGTAAATCATCACGTCTATACCTTGTGCATAGACATGAGGACTCTTAGGAAGATTCCGATATTCTGCAGACGAGGGGCAGGCTGGAGGGAAAGCTGTGACAGCTGGCTGGCTGGGAACTTTGGGTGAGTATCACTTTATTTTAGCACCTAGACACAAATGAGCACTTATCCCTTGCAGTATAGGGGTAGCTCCACTGCAAGGGTTAATTAAAAAAAATCCTAGACTTCTTCTTTTAACAATGTCCATAAAGCTATTCCGTGAAAATCTATGGGATGAAAACTCTGTCCAAAGCAATGATAAAGTGATTAAAGCCTAAAGTTGGCCATGCATTCCTGTGAATCGGGCAAAATTACAACAGTGGGTGGCCCTGTCTGGCACCACCTGGGTTGACAGTTCAACTGAAAAATCTAAGCAGCCAAGTGGACAATTGCCAGCTGGGAAGTGACTGCAACCATTCGGCTACAGTCACAGTTTGAGCCACAAAGGCAGTCTATCTGAATACAATAGCCAGCAAGGAAAATTTGCTGTTGAGTGACTTGCCAAGCTTGGTATCTTCCTCTAAGCCCGAGCAGCAATGCGTTTTACTGGACCATGTGTATATTTGGTTGCATTATTATACGTCTAATAAATGTTTGTATTATTCTTTTAACAGGGGCCTTTTGACTATAATGATTGACTCTGGTAATCGGCTCTCTCAATAATCTTTAATTTGAGTTGCACATCCCTTACCTGCCCCTCACTTTCTTCTTGAAGCTTAAAATGCCAGAAACCTGGTACATACAAAGTGATAGGATATATTCCTAAACAATAAATTGCATCTTCATCTGGGGTGTCTAAGCAGCAACAACTGCATCAGTATTAGGTGCTGGCATTCCAAACCTAGTTACAAATTTACCTCCCTCAAATCATGTCTCCAGTAGTAAACTGCTTAACTATGTTTGCCTAATTTGTCCAGTTGTACTGTTCTATAGTAAAATTAATTGTGGAGGGCTGTGCCAAGGGTGTATGTGCCTTCCCACCTCCCATGCAGCAAAGATGGCCACCTCAAGCGGTAAGTTCAGTGATGCAGGTTCAGCATCACTGAGTAAATGTCCCTGAACAGCCACTGCGTCTTTCACACTGGTTGCCACTGTGATTGGCAATTCTTTGCAATGCTGTGCTCAGTGACACTGCGTCTGCACTGTTAACAGGCTCCACGTCACCAAAGAGACTTGGCTGCTGTGCCCGACTGTGTGACAGGAGCAGTGGCTGGGCAGAGAGATCAGTAACACTGAGCCTGTGATTTTATCAGGTTCAGAGTTACTGAACTTTATTGAGGGCAGAGTGCCCGGTATGGAGAATCCAGCCTCAGTGCTGCCCTCCATCGTGCCTCCCTGAGTGCTGCTTCGTTGACCTCATTGGCAGCACAGCCCTAGTGACACTATGTCTTAAAACCATGGTTCTCAACTGGTGGGTTGCAACCGCGTGTTCAGTGGGTCACCGCCTGCCTTCCACTGCACTAGGTGAGCGGCTCCTCAGCCTCAGTATCGCACCGAGCAGACATTTAAAATATGCTGCCCAGTGCCGAGTATCAGTTTGAGAGGGGTTGTGCTGGGGGTATGTCTTTGAGGGAGCTCCATCCATACGTTCATTGCTTATAGTTCCCTCGCATTCCCTGTAGAGATGCCTGGTGCAGAGTGACGTCACATTCTGACTCCTGGCACCCCAACAGGGCGTGCAAGGGAGCTGTACAAGCAGTGCACATACACACTGAGTGGCCAGTTTATTATGACCACCTGACGTTTGTAGGCAAATTAGCTATAATTGGCTATAATTTCGCACTGAAGTTGCTAGAGGGCCATACCATTATACAGGTGAAACTCGAATAATTAGAATATCGTGCAAAGTTCATTTATTTCACTAATGCAACTTAAAAGGTGAAACTAATATATGAGATAGACTCATTACATGCAAAGCAAGATAGTTCAAGCCGTGATTTGTCATCATTGTGATGATTATGGCTTACAGCTCATGAAAACCCCAAGAACCCCAAATCCACAACCTCAAAAAAGTAGATTATTACATGCAATCAATAAAACAAGGATTGTACATAGAACAATATCGGACCTCTGAAAAGTACAAGCATGCATATGTACTCAGTACTTGTTTTGGGCCCCTTTTGCAGCACTTACTGCAATTACTTTTGCACAATATTCTAATTATTCGAGTTTCACCTGTAAATAGGGAAGCGGGTTGTTTACCACGACAGTAGAAGTGATTTTTTTCTGAAGATATGGGTAAACAACGCGATTTAACAGCCTTTGAACGTGGGATGATTGTTGGCGTTCGGAGCCATGGAGCGAGTATCAGCAAAACAGCAGAATTCGTTAAATGTTCAAGAGGAACTGTTGTTAAAGTGTTTAAAGACTGGACTGTCAGCCGAAAATTTGGGTCTGAACGTGCGAATTGTGGCCATCAGCGACCAGTCAATGTTAGGGCAGAATGGAGAGTGGCAAGACTGGTACAAGACAACAGAAGGGTAACAGTGCAGTGTCAGATTCCTCGCATCACCTTTCAACATCTCGTGGAGTCACAAGGCGGCCCAACTAAGTCATCGCGTGGAGTCATCTCGTGGCCCAACGAAGTACTGATGGGGTGGTCATAATAATCTGGCCACTCAGTGTAGATGGAGCTCTGTCACAGCACAGCAGCCCACACTAGTCCCCAGGCTAAGGATCCACTCCAGTTCTCGTAAAGTAGCAAAAAAAAAAAAGTAGAGTGTATTTGTGCCTTTGGTTGTGTGTCTGTCAGTGTTTTTGAGAGCCTGTTCACACTAGTACAGCATGTTAATCGCACAGTCATGAGTGATTGATGCACTGTGCCACACAATCACACCTGCCATGCATTGTGGTGCGGAAGGTGCATTTGAAGGGCACCCCAAATGCGCTTCCGCCCACAGTTCAATCCCCCGGACCAGAACGCATGGTACTGCAATGCTGTGTGTTCCAGTTCGGTGCTACTTAATGACCAAGGAAAAATGTGGGTCCTGAGGTTACACAGGTTGAGAACCACTGTCTTTAAAGTATAATCCAAAATGGCAAAAAAAAAAAATTGTTTGGCAAGAGTAGAGAAGGGTTAGGACCCACTGTTTCTTTTTTTTTCCCCTTGGTCTTGCCATCTTCCTGAAGAATCCTTAGATATGAAAAAGAGAAATTTCCTCTTGCACAGTTGTCACTGGAACAAGTTTTCCCCTTTTTATCCCTGTTCTGGTGGCAACTCACAATTTAAGATTTACCCTTTATTTAATTCCCAGAGACATCGCTGATCAGGACAATTAGGTTTTCGTTGTTGTCTGTACTGGTTAGTGACATTCATTGTCTCTGACTGTAGCTACCTTTTTTTTTTTTTTGTTTGTTTTTTTTTTTAGTTGCACCATCATTTTTACTAGCCATGTTTTAAGCTATCTACAAGATTTATTGCAAGTTTCCTTTTTCATGAAATCTTTATCTGTTTGTGAAACAACATTTCAGAGCAGAAAGTGGACCATATCATGAGATAAAAGCAATTGGAAATAAAATAGTTTTAATAAAATGTTAACTGTTCTATATGTGATTCTATATGTGATTTTATGTCGACTTTGTCTCTTATTCTTTACAGTTCCCGTAGTTAGAAATAATACAG